ATCCCTCTCCCTTCCTCTCTGTAAAAAATCAATAAAATATATTTTTAAAAAATAATAAATAAATAAAATAAAGAAACGATGGATGGAAAGAAATGATGGATGGAAACTTTTACACAAAAAATATAAGAAAGTGGAATTCTAGTTCTGATCATTTGGTGAACCTCATAGTCCAAAAACCTTTCTACTATGAAATACAAGAGGCTGGTTAAATATATTTAAAAATATATCTTGCTAACTGCATCACTGAGTCAGCAAGAGGAACGAGAGATCTTTGGAGACCAAAAGGTAGCGAAGGTCCAGAAAGCTGAGTGAGAAATGAAGCCAGCAGCTACCCAAATCTCACAATGTATGAAAAACAAACACATCACAACTTCTCTAAATAAACTCATTTGGTTTAACACTAGAAAATTATCAGAAATTCACCAAATTATCAGATTAAAGAAAAACAATTATAGGATCACCTCAGCAAATAGAGAAAGTAGCTGATTAAATTCAACACTCACAATTGAAAATCTAATAAGACTTTTAGCAAATATGGGATGGAAGAGAATTTCATTAACCTGATTAAGGGTGGCTAGCAAAAATCTACAATGTTATCCTTGATGGTGAAATATTAGAAGTTTATAAAAGTGTATAAGACAAGGATGTCCACTACCACTGGTTCTATTCAACTGCACTAGAGGTCCAAGCCAGCAATGGAAGAAAAGGAGGAATAAAAGGTAAGAATTGAGAAGAAAATAACAAAATAGTCAGTTTTATAAGGACATGATTACCTACATAGAAAAATTCCCCAAACCCTACAAATGACAATTATTACTATTAAAAATAAAATTTAGCAAGGTTGCTAAATAGATGATCGATATACCAAAAATATATAGTTAGAAAATCTAATTTAAAAAATATACTATTTATAATGCTGGCCAAAAATATAAAAAAGTACTGAGGAAGTTGCAAAATATGAAATCCTTTAAGAAAAATTATTAAACTTCATTGAAAGACACTAAAGATCTAAATAAATGGAGAGTCATATTGTCTTCATAGACAGGATAATTTGATATGGTAAAGATGTCAGTTCTCTTCAAATTGATATATAGATTTAATGCTATACTAATCAAATTCCAGTAGGTTTTTTTGTGGTACTTAAGCAGATTCAAAAAGATGTGTGAGCCTGGCTGGTGTGGCTCAGTGGTTGAGCGTCAGGAGGTAAAAGTTTGATTCCCCATCAGGGCACATGCCCTGGTTGTGAGCTCGATCCCCAGTGGGGAGTGTGCAGGAGGCAGCCAATCAATGATTCTCTCCCATCATTGATGTTTCTATCTCTCTCTCCCTTCCTTTCTGAAATTAAAAAATATATATATATGAAAGTGCCAACTGCAAAAACAAAAAGATACTCCTGAAGAAAAAGAATAAGTACAGGACTTGCCCTACCAGCTCTCAACCCTTACTATTAAATTAGTCAGGTAGTAGGCTAGGGATAGAACAGAACAAAGGAAGAGAAAACAGAGCCTAGAAACAGACCTGACCATGAATGTAAACTTGATATGAAACAAGAGTTAACATCACAGATCTGTGGAGAAATGACAGACTCTGCAATAGTGGTGCTGGGACAAGTGGTTTTTCATGTAGAAAAAAAATTAGGGATAATAAATGGTATTGGTTTAAGCTGCTTCGTTTTTGGTAATTTGTTACACAGCAATAGAAAACAAACATATACTTTAACAAGTGTAACAGGAGGCAGGTTTAAGAATGCCTATAGCAGCACTTTTCTAGGAATAAAAAAACCTGAAAGACACTAAAGCCCAGCCAGTAGCAAATGGGTAACTGTGGTAAATTCACACAACGAAATATTATACAGTAGTAAAAATAAATGAAATGAACTCAGGTACCTTGTCAAATGTAATGTTGGAAACACTAGGCAATTTATAGAAGAGTACATATATACAGTATGATTCAATTTATACAATGTTCAAAAACATTGAAAACTTAACAATATTTTATCTATATGAAGAGGAAAGAGGGATCTAGGACCTAGGAAGGGCACACAGGACATGTCAAATTTTTAGGTAATGTTCTAGGTTATTTTGTGTGTTTTTTAAAGTTGATAGATATGAGTATTCATTTATAATTATTATTTACATATTATGCTGTTATATATACAGTCTTTGAATAACTAAAATACTTTTTAAAAACATTACTATGAACCCTTTAATCCTAAATCTTTCTGCATTTTATTTTATTTTTAATATGTTTTTATTGGTTTTCGAGAGAGAGAGTAAAGGGAGAGAGACATTGATGTGAAAGAGAAACAATGACTGGCCTGGCAAAAAGTCTCATTGGTAACAATGTATAAGTAGTCATTTAAATTGGTTTGTTTTATAGTCTTGCTTAATTTAACTTAAACCATTTATAAGTTATAGTTGCATAAAAGATACAACATAAGGAATTTATACAGTTTTATATTTGCATATATTTCACATCCTGAAATATTTTAATTTAACAAGAGAATCCTAAGTATCTACTTGGGTTTGAGAAATTCTGCTTGGGAGCCACTCAGAGATATAGAGAAATGGCAGATTTGTGCTTTAGAAAACTCACTCTGGCGGCAGTATAGAGGGATGACTTGAAAGTATTTAAGGCAGAAAGGAAGCTGTTAATTTTAATATGATAAAACGGACAGACCCTACATTACTCAGGGGGTATGATGAGGAGATGCTCAAGAGTTAGTCTTAGAATCAAAAGGACTTGGTTGTGGGTGAAGAAAAAGAAGGCATCTTAGCTTGACTGTCTCTTGGTGAGGTAAATACCACAGGAAGACAAACAAGTGGCCGTGAGGGGGCAGGAGGGAGAAAAGAGATGATGCATTCAGTTCCGCAATTACTTGAATTTTATTTCAGCCAAAAATTCCGTTATCTTTTCTGAGTCTCGGTGTTCTCAGTGACAGCTGCATTCACGAAATTACCAAATTAAGTATTATAGCGCTGTCTAAAAATACACAAAGCGCTCCACAGTATGCTGCAAATAAGTTATGAAAAAATCAGCAAACGCCCAGCCCCTAAAGGAAATTCAGCAGGGTTAAAGAGAGCTGTGGCACATTTTTACTGAACACTTTGTGACCCACACACCCACTTAGTATTGTACTTTTTGCTGTGAGTCAGATGCCCTCTCTCGCTCGCGTATGTCCTGAACAAGAGGTGGAGAGCCAAGCCCACGCAGGAGATGCAAAGATCACTCTCAAGGGACGCACCCCAGGGACACCCCGGGGCTTGATTACGGGAAATTCCGTGCAGGGGAACTTTGACTTTGCCAGCAGGGCTCGCTACTTCCATTTCGTTTCATTTAGTTAGAGGAATCAACGGGGAATACCTTAGGCAGCCCAATCATAATGTAAGCATTTCACCTGTTACTCCCGTTATGGAGGAAAAGGAGGCTAGAGGAAGGTAAATGCAGCAATTATCGCAAAACCAGCCTGGGTCCTCGCAGACCGCAGAGGGGCGGGCCTCGGGAAAGTAATTCCACACTCGCTGAGCGGGAGAGCCTAGCCTCCTCCACCACCAACTCCGCACACGCAGACCCAGAAAGTGTGACCGTTACCCTCGGCCACAGCATCCCACGTGGTACTGAAGGGAGAGCCGCGGGGCGTACCTTTCGCGCTGGACGCTGCTTTGGGGGTCGCACTCGACTCAGCGCCTCTCTCGGCGCCTCCCACAGCGCAAGTCCGGAGCCGAGAGGCGTGGGGGTGCCCGGGCGGTAGGGACGGGTCCCTAAGAGCGGGGCACCGGAGGCTGCAGCCCT